TGTCAGCTAATAAGTCTTCAAAAAAGCATTTTTAATAGGAGTAGGGTTATAAATAAGCCCTTTTGCTGTTCCTAAGTTTATAGAACTGCTCGTATAGTTAACTATTTGTGGGGTTGTTTTACTTGAGATGGGGTGTACTTGATTACAAATGTTTGCCTTATTTACTTACACAGGGCATGCCTGTATTCACTGCATTCTCACAGGGAAGCAGCTTGGACAAATGGAAGAAAAGCCGGTTAAATGAGTGAAATGGTTGCCATGTGTAAAACAAGCAAACAAAAAGTGAAAAAGCTTTGGCTGTGAAGGCGGCCTTGGATGGCCTAGAAACTTGGGTTCACGTTGCTATGGCAAAACAACACAAAGGGACAGATCCTTCTGGCTTCACTCAAGTATCCCCATTCACTTTGTTGGGACTTGTGATGTGACTTGAGAGGAGGAGGAATTTTGGCTTGCTTTGGTAGAGGAGTGTTTGTTAGCAGTGTTGTAGAGAGCTGTGCAACCTCTAGCACCACATGTGGAAAGAGGAGGGAATTACCAGAGTCCATGCTGATAAGGCAGAGAGGAAGTGGAAGTTATTCTTCAGGGAGTAAAGGAAAAGTTTAGACAACAAGAAGGGTAGAGTTAAGGCGGGGGAAGAGCTTGTATGGGAAAGGTAGGTACTGATTAATGAAACAGATGGTAGCTGTTGGGGAAAGGGCTTCAGGGAACAGAAGTAAAAGGGGTAAATAAAACAATAATATCCCAGTTCAGCAAGAAATGTGGCAAATTCCTGTGCTGGAGAAACATTTAATAGGAAACAGAAACGCCCTAGAATCTGTGGCTCTGGCTGCCTGCAGGTTGCACTGGGCAGAGAAGCTTTGAAGAAGTAAGCAAAAATAAATTTACCTAGAGAAGAAAAGTGTGTAAAAGTTGAAGCTAAGCAGACTTCTGATTTGAAGAAGACTGCTGCATAATAGTCACTTGGCTAAAAGTACAGAATTGAGCTGAGTAAAAAGGTGCTCAAATATCCTGAAGCCTGAACCTAACCCAGGGTGGTTGATTTTCATTTATAGTTCTTCAAGCACTTTGGAGCAGAGTCCTGTCCCCTTTCTGGAGAGCATTAGGCCCATGGGGTGGAGACATTTCTGCTAGTGGCAGAAAAGTGCTGAATGTCATTTCTTAGTGACAAGCCATAGACCACAGAGCCTTATGGTCTGGGAGTGCCTGTCAGTAAGGACTGGAAAATCCATAGGGAAAGATGTTATGGGTTTTTTTAGGAGTAAGTGTCATACTTCTAGCCTGTGAATTCTTCCATGTTGTTGTAGTATTAAAGGTGACTTTTTAGTCCAAAGGCTAGCTTTAAAAAATCCAAAGACTGAAATTCTGAGGAAGATGAGTAGCAGAATTTTACAAAGAAAACTATGTATGTAGGTGAAAGGCAGAGAGAAAACAGTAGTGTACTCAAGTGATTTGTTTCCTCTGCTGCTGGCTCTAACAAATGTAGATTGCTTTAAGTACCACTAAATTAAGGACAACATTTGTTGTCCTCTAGCTTAGCATAGCAATGAGATCTGTCCTTCCAGGCAGTGCTTTGGTATCTTTCAAAAGCACCATGCTTTTCACTGGGTTCTAGCTAAGCTTTATGCATCAAAATTCTCATGGGCACCAGAGGCTCCTAGCTGAAACCAAATTAAAACCTCATGCTTTCTCCTCTGCTTGTCCTTATGTACTTCAAAATGTGTTTCCTCCCCTTCCATTTCCTCAGTCTTTTTTCGTACCTAATAAAAGCTAGTAGTAATCAGGTTATTCCTGATGTTCCCAGCAGCATGTATTCCTGATTTGATCTGCAGATATCTATTTCTCAACAAAATATGGTCTTTGTGCTTTTTAGACCCTCACTTTTACCAGAACTAGTGGCCTTTACAACAGCAGATTTCAGTGAAAATGACCAAAAATGACCCCATAGTCTTCAATGGTTTTTATTCAGATGGCTTCTTTTGCCAGCCTTCCTTGCAGCTTGTTGTAGTAAAAAGCATTGGCATGAAAACATAGTTAATAAACCCAAAACTCATGTCGTCTTCTTTTTCTCTTCCACATCAGGATTTTTTGGTTATACTTTTAATATGCCCTTTCATGATCTCATTTACAAAAATAGCCACCCAGATATACCCCAAAGGAAAAGATGATTCTCTTGGAAATTTCTTCTGAATGTCAAGTTGGCTAGCAGTTGTGTTTACTTCTTGGGTAAATAGTTTAGGTTCCTTATCCCTTTGCACAGCTTTCTTCTCTTGTTTCAAGGGAAATAGCTTCCTATTTTGTGGACTGGCTTTTCCTAGTTGGCAGGTTTCACATTTTTTCTAGTGACAGCAGGTCTCGCACTGAAGCAAAATCTGGCAGATTTTGCACCACAACTTAACTTTGTCACTTTTTTGTTGTTGTTGTTGTGATTGGTTGGTTGGTTTGTTTGGTACTGCCAGATGGTCACTTAAGAGCAGCTTGGTAGCTGATTCCTGCCACACATGATCATATTTTGGAAAATATTGACAAATTACCTGCTTAGTAGGTTTAGTCTTAAATGAGTTATTAGTAGCAGTTTTATCTGTCTTTTAAATTGCAGCTGTGGAGCTGACAGTTGGGGTATCATTCACCCTAAATTCATGAAACTCACTGTTAGTTTGTCACCTTTTCATGTTGTTTGATATTTGCCCTGCATTTTAAGTTTGTGAGTGTATGTCTTCAAGCAAGTGAGCTCACTCTTCAGAAAGCTCTTCCAAATTTTCATTTAAGTCTTCATTATTCATCCTTCATGAACTGACAGAATCAGGGTAGAAGTTTAGGGCTTTTCAATCATATACTGGCAGCTCTGAGTTATACCTTGCAAATGTTATTGGTCAGTAGATTGTGGTAGAGATTAAATCACTCCTACAGATGGAAATGTGTATGTGTTCTCTCTGCCTCGAAATCACCTTTTTCAAACGGACTTTCATCCAAGTTGAATTGCAACTTGACATTTTAACACATTTAAATGCTCAGGTCAGAATGGGATTCTAAACATAATTTCTTTCTCTCCAGTTCTTTCCCTGTGCTCCCTGTTTCTACACAACTTGGTGCCTTATAAAATTGTCACTGAGGAATGAGAGACTTATGCAGATGGGACAGTGAGCATCTTGGATTTTCTTTATTAGCATATGTGCTGTAGTTGCTCTTTTTCTGGTTTCTCTTCTGTTTGTTGGTGGTGGTCAAATGGCTGTACATCAGTAACTTGGGTTTCAGAATGCTTCTTCATTGCCTCTTTGCACATAGGACATCTTGCAGAACATTATGATGGTCTTCTATAGATAACACTGACTAGAAACCTCATTATTTCCTCTATTTGATAATTTTTCTTTGTGGCATCATTTAAAAATTGAACTAGCAACCAAATAGTACCACCAGGTAGAGTTAGGTTTCTTTTCATCTAGAGAAATAGCAGCAAATTATTCCAGTTTATATTTGACTTCCCAAATAATGCTCAATATTTGTAATGTCTTGCCATTTTTCCAAAAGTGCATTTTAGGTGGGACACTGGAAAAGGAGCTGCCTGAACCCCCATGTTGTGACAGACTGTCAGCTTCTGGCTCTCCCCATACACTGCTGTCCTGCAGGAGTGTGTCTGGTGTTCCCAGCAGCCTGCAGAGCTGCTCCTGTTCCCCCCACCTCCCAGTGGGGTCTGGGGCACTGCCAAGACCACTTGGAGGTTCCAGGAGCTGGGTGCTGAGTGAAGGATCTGCAGGAGGCTGGAATTCTGCCCTTGGGCCCCAGCAGCCCTTTCAGGGATGTAGATGCAGCTCTATGCACACAGGGCAGTGCCATCCCCACCAAATAACCCGTGCAGAAATGCTGCTGAGCAGTTTGTCCAGTTTCCTCAGAGCCCCAGGGGTGCTGGTCTTGAAGTGCTGGTCTGGGTGCAGGTTTTGGTTGAGCAGGCTTCTGCTGGTGCACAGCATGGCACACACTGTGTGACAGAATCTGGCCTTTTGTCCTTGTGCTTCATTCCATTTTCATGTCAGCAAGAACCTTTTAAGTGATATTGATGTTGCCACATGATCCTGACTCAGCATTTTGCTATCGCTTAGTCCCATGATGGAGGTTTGTCATTTCTTGCAGTACTTTATGATGGGTGTTAGTGGTTGCCAAGGTGCCATCTGTTATCTGCTCCCAAAGGCGCAATACCAACATTCCTGCTCTTTACCTTCCTGGTTTGTAATCTTATTCTAGACATCTAGATAATTGACAATAGAATAAAAAAAAAAGTTTAAGAGGATATTGTGGATCTGCTTAAGTGTTTCCCCTCCAAAATCTGCAGCATGCATTCTGGGGTCACAATTTTCCGTGTTTGTAAGGCTTGCAGGCAGCAGCTCTATTTTCATTTATTAGCATAGCACGCTGGAGTTGTTTAACTGACCTGGTATATCATGTCTCAAAGTATTTTAAAATAAAGATTCTGAGCAGTTTTATGTTTATATTTAGTGTTGAGTAGCATTGAAAAGTTTTCAGAGTTTGTCATACTGAGAAATGATGAGTTAAATTTGAGTTACCCACCAACCAGCACATGTGAAACATTTTTCCATGCTATAATAAAGGTAGCAGCAGATAACTGAGCAAACAAATGTTTATATGCACCAGAGAAAGTCTGATTACTTAAAATAAACATGTCTGAGGGTGTGAGTACCATTGGCAGGCTTCAGTGGGACTGTGGTATTAGCTGACAGAAAGGACTCTGGGGCCTCGCTTCCAAACAGATCCCAACTTGCACAATGTATCACAGAAGGGAGCAACATCTGCAAAGAAGTACTGAAATACAGGGGAGGAGTACTAGGTTACTGGTACCTAGGGTATCTGACAATATAAAATGCACTCCCCTACTAGACATTTAAGAGAGAGTTCTGTTTCTCTTCTTACAAGAGAGACAATTTTAAATATCTAACAATATTTCTGTAAGTTGTATTTGTATTAATGTTTATTTTTACTTCTGTCTGTAGGCAAATAAAACTCCAGAAGATCTGATTTCAAAGCTCACCACAAATTTCAAAGAAAGTAAATCTACATGAGGAGCCACAAAGCAAGTTGATTTGAGAAGATACAGCATTTACAAAAATGTCAAGTTGTGTGACTTCAGTATTTGCTTTCATGGTTTTGTGCTTTGCAGCTGCAGGTAGGTGGTATTATGCAAATCATGCATTCAGTGGATTAACTTGATGTGCATATTTAGAATTGTTGATCACAAATACTTTTTCATGCTGAAGAAAGTAGGTCAGCTAAAGTTTATGTCTAGGTTTTCTGTAAAACTATTGTGATCATAATTGCATCATATATGATGTGAGAAACAATGCTGTTCCTATAAGAATGTTTTCTTGCATCTATGTTCACCCTTAAGATAATACAAGAATTGCAGTAGTAATCTAGGTTATTTAGGTTATTTACCTATTTATTTTTAAAAAATACATGGTGCACTTAAAGGGGAGGGTTGATATGGAAGCCTTTGGGAGTGGAGGCAGTGTAGCTCTGCCAGCATGATGAGCTATTGGCTCTGCCAAGAGGCTGAATTTATTTTCCCAGATGCAGGGTTGGGCTGGTGAAGCTGAGGCTGCTAGAGTCTCTCTGCAGAGCTGGGCTGAAAGGGTCTACCTGCTCAGCTCCATGCTGCCTCCAAGACCTGTAATCTGGAATTAAGCCCCAGTTATTTGACTTTATAAAAAATATGTCAGACAAAATCCCAGAAAGGTTCATAATAGGTCGCTGAGTCTGTCCATCCATCCTGCCTTATTGGGATAAACCTCACCTTGGTCATTTCTGACAGTTGTCTAACGTGACTTACAGTCAGTCATTAGTGATGATGGCAAAGGCCTTTTAATAACAGTTGTCTGTGTTAATGGAGTCCTTTTAGGTTAGGAGCATGCATTGCCATTTAAGGGGATTGTTCCTGTCCCACATTTTGGTCTAGCTGGGGATTTTTAAAAGGGTATGTTGCAATAACTTGTGACAGAGAAAGGAAAGATCTGTGGAGTTCAAGTACCTAGTTTATTCTGTAGTTTGTTCAAGCACTGAAGTGATTCTACTCAGAATGTTTGTTTGTCAAAGTTCTTTCTGTGGTTGCAAGGGGAAGCCTCTTATGTGTCCAGCTTGTGTACAGTGTGGGTCTTTGGAGAAGAGGCCAAGTGGATGTGCAGTCAGTCAAAATGAGACAGTGGGAAAAGTAGACAGTGGACAGATGGCTTGCTTAAATCTGAGATGTCCTCACTGTGGAAAAGATGACCAGCTTTGGAAGAGACAGGGCTGAACAATTAAATGTGTTACAATTTGGCTTCATTTCATCTTCAGCATGGAAAATTATGTTATTTCAAGCCCTCAAGCCTTGTGGGACTTTCTCTGGGTTTGACCTCCTTGAGGGCATCTATCCAGCATGAGTAACTTTGATTGTTTAACAGTACGTGATGCTGACATTTTGCAATAGCTTCACTGCAGACAGACTTCCAGCAATGCAGGGTGTGTCTGAGTGTGTCTGCAGCTCGAGCTGAGCGCATCAGTGCTGCTCTTGGCTTACAAGAGCCATTACTTGGAGCAAATCTGTATCATTCTAGATGTGTGAAAATCTACTTTAAAAGGAAGGGCCAGTGCAGAAAAGAAAAGCTTTTTTAATTGATCACAACCATAATTCTGTTTTGCTGCTGAGGAGAATGCTTGCCTGTTGAGTCAGCTTACCTCTTAAAGCTAGCTTTAATTAAAACCCACTGATTTAAAAGTGCTGTCAAACAGTACCACTATTAGTAAGTTATTCAGTGTTGAGAAAACGTAATGTGTCTGTCTTGAAATTCGTTGTGGTTTTTTGGTTTTACTCCCCATCTCTGTGTTTTCCTCTGGCAGATATTATTGAAACAAGCTCTTAAAAAGCTTTGGATTCAATCAGATGCTTAAGTAGAGTGACAGAATTATTTTGGTTGGAAGGGACCTCTGGAAGTCTACTCCAGCACCCTGCTTGGAGGAAGGCTAGTTTCAAATTCTTTCTTTCTTTCTCTGATTTTTCTTCTATCTGCATGGGAAGAAATCAGCTGAGGAGAGTAGGAGGGGTCACAGTCTGTTAGGGGAAGGTGAGGAAGCACTGTCTGTGTGGTTTCTGGCTATATCTGCCTGTATGTTTTGGTTTTCTTTCTTTCTTTTTAATTTTTTCAATAAATTCTTAATGAGAACAACTAGATAACGTCCTTACAGAGTATAATGAGTACAGTGAGATAAGAGCAAGAACCAATGGACTGTGATGAAGAGGGAAGAGATGCCAGGCAGATGCAATTAAAACTGAGGAAGGACAGCTCTCTGAAGGTTATTTAGATAGAGCTTTTGCAGCTGGAGACTTTGAGTCCTTTTAATGCCAACAGTTATGCTTTAAATGCAGGGAGTTTGTGACTCTAGGTGGAAGCACACAGCATGTTGCAGCGCTGTGAAAAGCTGGCAGAGGCCCCTGGCTCTGGTCAGTCTGGTGGCCAGGGCACTGCAGGCGTGGCTCCTAATTGCCAGCATACAGAACCTGTGCTTTTCCAGTCTTGAACCACAAATGTACTGGTATAAATAAAACTAGAAATCTAAATAAAGTTAAGAAGTATAAATAAAATCCCTTGCTTGTGGTGGAGCCTGGGGGAGGCAGGGGGCAGCATGCCACCTCCCTAGGGTATTGATTTTTTTACATTTGAGCCTTTTTCCAGCTTGCTCTTTGTTTCTGAAAAGTGAAGCTGCTGCAGCAGAGCACACCTTTGTTTTGTTTGCCAGTCCTACTCTGAAACTGCTGCTGCTGGTTAAGGAGGGTGTTTTGCTGACATTGTAGTAGCTTCAGTGTTCTTGTATTTTCAGGTGTAAGTGAGGTTCTAGACAGAATCCATGTTTGGTTTCTGTTTTTCCACTCTTGCCCTTGAAGGTACTAGTGTGTTAAATATATCAAAAAGCCCCCAAAACCCTGGAGTTACACTGCATGATGTACAGAAATGGATGGTCAAAGATGAATCACAGATCTGCATGTTTTTCAAGCTGATAGTTTAAATATTACACCTCACTAACTGCATTGAAAATAGTCCATATAAATATTCAAAGAATATTTGCCTGTTTTTCTACCTCCTTATACTACTTGGATGTATGTAGCTAAATGCTTATCTGAATTTGATTTGCTTTTGTCTTGTACACTGATTTCTTGTAAGCTTTTATTTATAAAGCTTTATTGGGCAGAAAAAGACTGCAAAGTATACCTTGATTACTCTGAGATTTTTCTACTTCATGGAAAGTCCAAGGCAGGATGGGGAGAAAAACTCCTGGCAAGCTCTCTACCCGACTGAAGGAATGAAGTTTTTGAAGTGGGATTAAATTAAGGTCTGGCAACCTGCAATAGGAGCTGCACACAAACACTTAGAACTACACACAGTTATCCAGGCCTTGGATGACCTCTTAAATTAGTCTGGCTTTTTAATCTTGGAGCAAAAATATTCTGTCCTAATGTGGCTTAAATCAAAGGCTGGAACATATTTATTTTACTTGCTGGCAAATTAGTGCAGTTGGGTGCATGATGCATGTCATAATAAAGTGTCTTAGAGGACAGCTGAAATACGTACCTGCTCTAGACCTTGAGGGCCAAACCTTCAACAGAACAGGTCCTTCTGTGAAGGAATAGGAATGTTTTTTAACTTCAATTTTTTGGTTTTGTTTTGTTTGTTTCTATCCTGCATTACTATTCAGCTGGAAAGAAGACAGAAGGGTGATACAGGCTATGGATTTCCAGTGGCCAAAGGTTCTCATTGCAGCCTCTGGGGTAGATCCTCTGTTGGTGCAAATCATTCCTGCTGCTGAGGAAGCAGCACAGCTGTGGCACCGATACCAACTGGAATTTGTCCATGCAGCCCATGTTCACTTTCCTTCAACACCCTTGATATTTAGCATTGTCTGTGCTTGACTTGTGAACACTTTTCTCCTTATGGCTGCATTTCATGGTTGTGGTCAGGCAGATGAAGACCCTGTAAGAATTGCATATATTGAAGAATTTACTTATTTTCTATAATGCTGAGGTTACTGGTTTATCTGCTTATGTTAGGTCTGTCTTTATGGTTTTCTTACAACAGCTCTTTAATCCCTGGTTCTCCACTCTATTGTAATCCTAGCTGCTTTTTCTTTCTTTTTACATACTTGTTTTTGTAAGTAATCTTACATTGTTCAGAGCATGTGTGCTTCATTTTCAGTAGGACTGTTCACTTGCAAGCTCATGTATCTCTGCATCTGTGCCCCCCAGATATAATGGTGATGGGTGCCATGTTAATAAGTGGAACAACAGGAAGAAACAGGCCTTGTCATGACACCTAGTTTTTATTTTTTTTTTTAAAGATGAACTTCCCCTGACCTTGAACATTGTGTTTCCAAAAGTAATATATGATTCTTCAAAGCACGGTAGAAAAACCTCCTACTAGAAGGTGAAAGACATGATCTAAAAAAAGTAGAAAGTAATACTGGGAGTTACTCACGCAAATTTCCCTCTATTTTAAACAGTGCTTGCTGGGTATTTCCCAGATGTAATTAGACTGTAATTATTTTTTTCTTAAAGTATTTGTTGCCAGAGGTGTGGAGATTTTTGTTTGTTTAAATTGTTTTTAGAGGATGAGAACCAAGGGAAAGAGGTTGGATCTTGAATTCTGAGGACTGAAGTAAAGCACAGGCTGGTTGCAGCATTCAGCTTTTGAATGGATGAAGATTTCACTCTCTACTACCCTTTCTCTTCACATCTTTCTCATAATCAGCTGACTTCTGCCTCCCTTATGAAATCACCTGTTCCTATCTGTTGATGGTCTGGGTGTTCAGACTTTGGAGGATGAAATAAACCAGCACTCAGAACATTTGAAGATTTGCAGTGTCATAGAATTAGAGGAGCAAAGGCTGGTTCATGTGCTGTGCCATGGCAGAAAGGTTGCAAGGAGGGGCAGGGGCTGCAAGGGAATGCCCACCTTCTTCAGGGGAGGCTTATGTGCTCTCAGTTCTGAGAAATACTATTGAGAAACCAGGGACTGGCTATTAAAAGTGGAAATTGTTCTAATTTTTTTATTCCTTCATCACCCTGATGGTGATTTGAAACATGAATACCACGTTTATCTGATAGGAATCAAACGATGAATTCCTAAATTCATGTCCATG